AAAACTACCAGAACATGGCCACACAGCCCGGAAGACCCACACCAGCCATCGTATGCCAGCCGTGAAAGCCTTCGACAATACTTGCAAAGCACTTGAAAATAACAAGTGCAAACCGATAGCTTCATTACAGAAAAGCATAATCAATGATGTTATCCTTGTTATCTCAGAATAATGGATATAATGGAAACTATTTGGTTTCATGGCTTTGGTTTGGTTTCACAGCTTTGAATTTATATCTTGCTTTTGTCAAGTAATCAACATTCCAAGGATTTTTCAAGAAAAATATTCCTGAAAATGTAGCTGGAGAAAGTTCTTAAGGACTGAAGTACGTCTATTCTGTCCTTTTTCCCCCCTTTTTTCTTTTTTGCCTTTTTAGCTTACATCAAGGGGATGATATTTTTAGCAAATTACCTTTATTAGACTTACATATTTCATCCTATAGGATAAATGTTCCAAGGATAGCTCATAAGAAAATGTACACTGTTCAATCAATCCATTAAAGCCAAAATGAAAACAGTCAACCAACTCACAATTCAGTCACTAAAAAAAGAATATCCTAAAGTCAGAATGCCACCACTATGATGATCTTATCCATGTGTCCACTAAATTTGGGCAGTGGAAGCATTCAAGGTGCCTCAGATGAAGATCTCAGTGGTAGTAGACTGATGCAGGGTCAAGGCAGGCCAACAAATACCTGGATGCTAGAGTTTGTCAAGCATTAAAGAGAGGCATTCAGAAACAAATGAAATGTGGTTTCTTTACATAGCCTACATGTTGGGAACCAAATTGCGATTTGCAATCTAGAACGTGTATTATATACCAGCTGAGATTCCTATCCTATCTTCAGTAGCAGCCCCACATACAATACACTGAAGTCTTGTATGTCTTAAGTCTCAGAGTTACCAGAGCATGGATATGTAAAGCCCTAAATGTTCTTGGTGCAGTTCTTGAGCGAGAGTAACTTTATGCCTTTACTTGAGGATGATGACATTCAAGACGACTGATACTTAACTTTCCTCCTTTTCTAAGAATTTGTGAAAGCCCAAGCCTGGATCTTTCCCCAAATGCTGATGTTTTTATTTCTGCTTGCTTACTACTGGTTCAGAAAGATAGGGTAGAATGATAAGTACATTGTCATTCACCTTAAGCCCATGCAAAGGGATGCCAATAATTCTAATTAATTAACTTAATTAAGTCATTTCCATCCTGGAGATTATTGGGATTATAGCCCCAGAATTCTCAGTCTTCCTCATTTTCATGCCGATAACTGATTCAAATACTACATGCTATATGATGTGACCACCACTAGATTTCTGACTCCCCTCCTCTTCACTGGGCAACTTTGAATACAGAGGTTGTAATTTTGACATAAAAAAACATCATCATACCCAAGATCTTCGTTTTTCATTCCACGGCATCATTTTTATGCCCATTCAGTGGTGGTTCTAAATACCTGGTGCTTTGCACAGGTGGTTATTTTATGATGTCCCCATTAAGTTTAAGCTAATGCATACAACCAACCTTCATCTGGCTGATACTTTTGTGCGGGTCCCACCCCCATCCCCTTCCCTGCACACTTTTAACTGAGCATTGGAGGGAAACAGCGATGTAATTGTGGTTCCAAGCATGACAGCAAACAAAATAGCCTATCCAGTACATTTCAGCTCATACATTTTGGTTCATCAGCCAAATGGTAGAGGCATGTTTTATTGCCATTTGTGCTGCATAAATCAAGCATGATTATTGCTGCTTTCAGATTTGCAACAGGAAATTTATAACTTCAGATATGATTTATTCAAAACGTAATATGTCAAAGGAATCTATTTCAGTTTAGTTTGCAGATACAGAGTAAATTAGTAATTACAAAGCTGTAGTTGTAATGGCACAGTATATTGGGTTTGGAATAAAGAAAGTATTCTTGCTGAGAGAACTATTGATACTTTTTTCTCCTGCTACTTTATCACTGCCTCATCTCCCTAAAGGTGATTTTATAGATGCAGTCGATTTTAAAGAGAAAGATTTTAAAAAACACATTTCAGTAACAAATAATAATTCCTATTACAGATAAGGCACAGAAGGATCTCAAGGCTAAACAAAGCATTATATGCATCTAAATCACCAAATACAATTCTCAGCTTCAAGGTTTTCAGGAATAAGAGTATAGATAGACTTATTTCTGAAAGCCTGAAAACTATTGCAGTATACAGAACACCGACTGATAATCCTGAATTAGACTATCATCTATTGCATTGCTCTTAACGTTCTGATAGCTTTCGGGGTAGCTGATATCCTAACATACAACAGCAATCTGTAACTGTAAAAAGCCTGTTCCTAACATGCTGTTTTTTATGTACTCCCCCAATCACATGACTCTGGGTGGTGAACATAAAATCAGGATATAAACTGCCTCCCAAGAACACATTTGGCTTGCATTGAAAGTAGATAGAGACTGACATAAACACATAGTACAAAAGTATGGCCAAAATAAATGAATTGCCCTTTTTGGCACAGTTGATCTAAAATAGAGCACTAATCAAAACTGGTGCAGTGTGCCTCAGTTAGAATTCTAGCAGATGTATTTTGCACCCACTGCAGCTCCTGGATGATCTCCAAAGGCAGTGTACATGCAACACTTTTTATCTGGTACCAGTGTACAAGAGCAGCAGGAGGAGGAGGAGGAGGAGAAGGAGGAATAATAATAATAATAATAATAATAATTATTATTATTATTATTATTATTAT